AAGCTTGGATTCTTAAAATACTTCTGAGCTAGCAGTTTCTGTAATAGGAATTTTTTTCTCCTTAAATGTTCAGCACAGTTAAATTATTAGAAGTTCAATTTCTTTATTTGTTGTAAATTATGGTAATATTAGCGATGATGGTTGCTTAGACCACCTTGATAGCTATCTCTAGAAACTAATTAGAGTGAAACTCCTTTAATTTAAAGGACATTGTGATCTAATTAATGCTATTTGGAGATAGAAAAACATTTTGTAATCACAAAGCAAAAGGTCAAGACCTTTCTCAATTATAGACATACAGACCCCCAGACACATGGATAACTCTTAGCCTAAGATGTACAGTTTCAGCCACCAGTCAAAAACAAAGACAAAAACTCTCTGGCTGAGATCTCAAAAAGCTTTCTTCTTCTCAATGGATATGAAATCCTAATTGGTTTGTGCTCACAAATAGACAGACAAGCAAACAGACTATAAACTAAACTCTCAATCACTGCTGCCACCAATGGGGAATAACTTGCCTATGTACAAAGCAGAGATAAAAACAAGACAGAGATTCAATAGACAGGAAACAAAAATTCTAGAGAAATCACCACCAAACTTCTACTGCCCCCTGGGATTCACTGTAGAAGCCAAGGAAAGATGTTTAAATAGGGTTTCAGGAGTCCACAAAGTATGCTTTTCTGACAACAGTTTACCTGGGTCCATCAGATCAAGTCAAGCTGGACATCTGAGTGGGTAATTTGCAAAAGTCCTAGAGGATAAGTTTCAAAGAGATGAAAATATGACATTGATAGATATAAAATATGAACACATTCAAATATTTTACTTAGTTTATTCATTAATGATGAAACCAATAAGAAGTAATTAACAAAATACATTGGCATCACTGTGAACCAAAATAATTTGCATTACTATGAAAGGAGACACATTACTATTAGCTTTTCAATAAGTTAATGTCTATCCCTACAGAATTAATTGAAGACAACTAAAGGTGCATACCTCTATGGACCAGAAAACCCCCAGAGAGTTTAGGTCATGTCCAGCATTCCACTGAAAGGACAGTAATCTGATTTCCACTGAGAGGAAGCAATCTCTCTTGCTCTTCTCCTCTACAGTTTTTTTTTTCTTTTTTTAAATATTGGTGATCTATTGAAATCCAACTTCTCCATTTATGCTCCTCTTGCTATTTAAGGACTTCACTACAGCTGTTCTCCTTTTATCTCCTCCATCATTTATTTTCTGTCTCAACCAGATCATCCTCATCAGCATAAAAATAGGCCTTAAAAAGTCCATACTAGTATTTCTTCTGTCTTAAAAAAGCAAACCTTTCTTGACCCCCTACTCCTGCTGTAAACTACTGCCTCATTTTTCTGCTCTTTGTTATAGAGAAAAATCCTCAGAAAGAGTTGTCTTTATTCTCTCCAGTGTCTCATGAACCTGCTCCAATCTTGTAGATAATCATTATCATCTACAGTCAGGTGGGCTTACTAATAGTGAACACAAGAATTAGGTAGATCTGTCACTTCCGGTCATGAGCAGGTTAGAGTGTCACAGATTCATGTGGCAGTGCCTTTTCTTCAAGCCTAAACCTAGGGGTTGGAGTTCTTCCCTTTAGGTTGCATTTGAATAGGCAGTTTTGGTTGTACCAGTGACTGGGAAATACTTCTAGTGTTTAAAGTCCAATGAAGGACTTAAAGCAGGGTTTAAAGTCCTATATTGCATGAAGAATTATTTCCCCCAAAATATCAAAAATGCCTCCTTTAAGGAATCAGCTGCACTAGACCTGATGTATGGTTGAGAATAACCTAGATGTTATATTCTTTGTACTCAGACAACATCAAGGGTTATAGGAGAGAGGAAAGGGCTGGGGCTGATATTGAGATCCTAATTCTATTGTCTTGTTAATAAGCTAAGGACTTCTTAGAAGATAATAAGGAGATAGAGAGATTAAGGAGGAATGTTATCTGGGGGAGCTCCCAGCATGTATAAGGAATTTGGGAACGGGGAATGAAATTTCTCTTCATGGTAAAAGTTGATTCAGTGGTGCCTGTACATTTGAACAAGCTTTTGGCTGTTTTTATATCTTGGGTTACAATTTTTATAATTGCTATACTGCCTTGTTAAATGTTGAATGTTACTATGGAGATGTTTGAGCCCATCTCAAAATAATATGAGACTGATTTTCTTTTTCCCTAGTGAATGACTTAATCTTTTCCCCCCCTTGAATTCTCAATTTATGCCCTCTTTATTTTTTAATTTTTATGGCTTCACAAAGCTATGAATTGATGTTGATTGTTTTGGGTCTATTTATGTTTCCTGGAGAATGGCTTTCCATTTGATGTGTGTATTCAGAAATACTGTATTTTTTTCTTGCAGTTTTATCAAAGCAAGTGAAAAAGCTTTTTCACAAAGTGCCAATATATGGGACCCATACCAAACTTTTCATTTGGTAGGTCTGTAGTGGCATTTAGAAATCTGTGTATTTTCAAATAATCCCAGATAGTTCTGTTGCTCTACAATGTGTTTTAAACAATGTTGTATATCATTAAGAGATGTTAGAATGTTTTTCTCCCTTTTAATTCTTAACATTAGAACAATTCTCTGCTATTACTCCAGTAGTAATAGTGAAGAATACTATGGGAGGGAGACACATTGTAGGGAAAGAACAAGTGTTTATATTTGCCCACACATCTTTGTGTATGAGTGTGATGGAAGGTCTCTGACATCAGTAGACTACAATGTAGTTGAAATTTTCCTTATAATTGTCTGATACAACTGTCCTTTTTACTGCGATATCAATTTGTTTACCAGCTGAGATGTTTTTCCCAGAATCGTGTCTCAGAGGTGATGAAGAATGAAGCCAATAGACAAGAGTATGGAGCAACCAGCAAAGCTTTTAATGAGGAGTGAAAAGAAAATGCTGCCTGCTAATCAGGAGGGGCTCCAAGGGAGGATGACTTCAGGGCTGCAGTGTCTGGGGTTTACAGAGAAATTTACATGACTAGGGGCTTGTTGCTAGGGTCCAGCTGAGTTCAAAAAAGAAATAACTCCCTTATTTTTCAGGCTGAACTTTCAAGATGTCTGGGTTGTGGCTTCTTGTTTGCTGCAAAGCCTTGAACCCAAGTCCCTCCTGACTGCAACTAACCAGAGCCTTGAAACTTACAGGGGCCTTGAACTACTCTATCTGCCTGTGTCCCTCAAACACCTGCCTCAGTTTCTGTTGCCAAAGAGAGAAGCCCATTTGTAAGTAGAAACAGACAAATGAGCGATTTCTTTGGAAAATATTTAACAACACAAAGTGTATTTTTTCCCCAAAGGCAATGAAATGTAGTTCTTTAAAATAGGTGAAGTAGCATGAGTGATTTTTCTCTAAACTTTGATATTTCTATAGAATTTCATAATTGGATTTGATTTGTCAAATTAGCTTTTCAGTTTATATAATCTTCCATTATCATAAATCAAGCAAAATGTTTTAATGTGAATGTTTTCTTTTTATCTTTTGGAGACCATAAAAAGGGTTCACTTTATTGCAAAATACACCTAAAATGTAATTATATCACTTTACACTTTGGGTAAATTGTTCATAAAATGATTTAAAAAATGCTTTTAGTGATAAATGCTTATGTCTGATGATGCAAGGAAATGGGACATTGTAAGTGGAAAATAAATGGTTTTATATGAAGTCTTAAAGATTTTTTATTACATCTGTCATTACAAATTGGTTTACTTCTTTAAATGTTGCTTTCAAAATGTATATATTGTGATTTTACTATACTGTTTTTAAGAAAAATCATATTTTTACAGACTTACCTCTGATACAACATCTTAGGAAATCTAATTATGCCTCATATGTTATAAATATTTCCTTTATTTGAGCAGTCAGGAAATGGAACTTGAAAATATCTATAATACTAGAATATTATGACAATTATCAGAAGAAACCTTTCTGGAGACAAGGGGGTTATTTAATGTTCTCTTGACAATTATTTGTAACTGTAATCTCTGAATCTCTGAGCATGAATTGCCACTGTACATTTAGTAATGTTTTTAACCATAAACCAAGTTGAAGAACAATTATGCTTTTTCTGGTTTTTAATAATAACTCAAATAGTAAAAATTATAACTCAGGTGATTTCTTAAATTTCTGTTTATCTCAGGATAAAGAGAGGAAAAGTAGTATCAGCAGACTTTGTTTAGGTAGGAATATCCCACAAATCATTATTATAATTATGTTCTTTTTGAGAGAGTTTAAACCATAATTGCCTACATATTAAATATTAAATGCTAATATATTTTAGTTTGGAATGTGTTCTAGATTCGAGTTAATTTCATTTTGGTCAAGGAGACCTAGCTAGAAAAATGTTTTGATTTTCTAAATGTGTGTGCTTACATAAGAAAGACTGCATTTTTCCTGTGTGTATTTCAATTGGGTATTTTCCTATGTGTATTTCTAATGTATATCTCAACAGTCTGAGTCTCACACCACAAAATCTGGGAATTTACTTTCTACAGCTTCCCTTTCTTCCTTACCAGAATCTGTCTACTTTTGTTCTCTCTCGAGTGTTCAGGTAGTTGTTTTTTGTATCATGTATAATTTAGTGGTTTTTAACTTCAACTGGGTCTTTATCCAGTCATCACCATTTTTAAATCTCATCTTTTCTTTCTTGAAGTATTCATTCTGATCTAATTTCCATATGGTTGAAAAGCTCCCTTTGAGAAATTTCCTCAGAAAGGGTATCAAGATGGTTTGGCTCAGCTCAGGAACATTTTCTTCAGTCTTATCCTTGGTATTGATAAGGAAAGTATTCAACACAGCCATCACGGTCAGCAAACTGCTTTTTTCCTCCAGTTGGCAAAGCACTCCCAGCTCCCTGCTCCCCTCCTCCAGGCTCCTCATTTGCCCTGTGCATGCAGAAATGCCACATATCAAAATAATATAAATTGCTCCCCTTGCTTGTGCTCAGGGCTCAGGCCTTGGGAGATTACTCCCCTCTGAGCCCGCCGGTGTGAAGTAAAACCTCAACACTCCAAGACCTCCGAGTGCCGCTTGGTTCTTCAGTCACTGACCCAGTCCAGATTTTCCAGTATTTTCCATAACATTTGGTTCCCTAACTGGGAAACCCAACCGCGCTGGCCCATTGTTGCCACCAGTTTGGGACAACGACAGGGCGGTGATGGAACCGGAGATCACAACGGAGAAGGCGCGCCCTGCTTGATCTTTCAGCAGTCTCCCGCCTGGTCGCCCCAGGTTGGCCCCGCTCCACTGTTCCTGCCAGATCAAGGAGGCTTGGCAGGTGAGGACCTGGTTCTGATGCCAAATCCAGTAAGGCCCTGGGGCCTTGGTCCCTGTCAGACCCACCTGTTGGGGTGGAAGGGGAACCTGATCACCTCCCGGGGACTTCTTAAAAGTCTCACAGGTAGACATTCCCAGGGGGGGAATGTTTAAACTCTGGTCTGTGTGTGTGTGAGTGTGCAGGGTGGCTGAAGCCATTCAGTCTGCACTGAATCTGTGATTCCATGGCCTGTGCTATGGAATCTGAGTGGGCCCTCATCTGCATTCACGGTCAGCTGTCATGACATATCAGTGATTCAGCTTTGGCTGACCTGGCCTGGGACTTATACAGGTGCACCTTAGCCAAGGCTGACCAAAGTCTCCAGGAGGAGCGCGAACGGACGGGCATCTGACTGGTCTCCTCTCTAGAGGAGGCACCCCTCCCTTGTCTGTTGTTGTGGCACTATCCACAGAACATGTCATGCATGGGGTCAGGGCACAGTAAACCCACAGCCCTTGACACTATGATCAAGAATTCCAGGAAGGGATTTTCAGAAAACTACAGAGTAAAATTAACTCCTGGCAGATTGAAAACCCTGTGTGAATCTGTATTGCCCACTTTAGTGTAGGGTGGCCTCCAGAAGGAACCCTAGATGTCCAACAATCCGCTGAGCCTGGCAGATCATCCTTAGAGATCCAGGTCATGCTAATCAGTTCCCATACTTTAACTCCTGGTTAGAAGTTGCCCAGACTCTTCTCCCTTGGGTGTGATTCGCTTGCAACAAGCAGGGACAAAGTAGGGTCTTAGTCGCCTCAACAAAACAGCCCACAAAGAATGAACAGAAGCCTGAGCTTCCGCAAATTCTTGCTGGTGACCCAGAGGAAGAGCTAAAATTGCTCCCACCTTTTGAACCTCCAAGGCCATCAGCACCCAGCCCCCTGGCCCCAGACACCTCACCACCGTCAGCCTCCCTGCCAACCCCAGAACCAGTGAACCCACTCTCCCCTGGACCTGCAGCCAGACTGCACCCTTGGCCAGGAGCAGGTGCCCTTCAGATGCCAGTGCAAGAGATGTGGGAGCCTGAAAACATAATAAATATGGGACCATCCAGCCCAGCCAGTCCATGTTTTACTATCAACCCTTCTCCACAACTGACACCCCGTCAGAAAAACCACAAGCCCTGGTTGATCTCATAGAATCCCTCTTGAAAACCCATCAGCTGACCTAAAAAACTGTCAACATGTTCACACCCTGTTCACAATAGAAGAGAGGAGGCACCCAGGGTCCTTGATTGGGGTACATGGGCTGAAATCACTGTTCCTGAGGAGCACCCCAGGTGGGACTTCACCACCCCTGAGGGACAGCACCAGATCCACTGATATCAGGATGCCCTTCTCCAGGGGATCAAAGCCAGGTCCAAAAAGCCTATGAACATGACCAAAGCATCTTCAGTCACTTAATAATCAGGAGAGTCTCCTGAGGATTATTATGAAAGACTGTGTGAAGCTTATCGCATCTACACCTCCTTCAATCCTGAGTCACTAGGGAGCCCACAAATGTCAACACCTCATTTGTAGCTCAAGCCACTCCAGACATCAGACAAAAGCTCCAAAACTTGAAGGCTTTGCTGGGATAAATATCACTCAACTGCTTAAAATTGCCAACAAAGTATATCTAAACAGAGAAGTTCAGGCCAAAAGAGAGGCTGAAAGAAGAATGAAGAAAAAGGCCAGCTCCCTGGCAGCTGCCCTAAAAGAAAGAGAGATGACCAAAAGGCAGAGAAAAGCTGGCCACCAAGTGGAGGGAAGCCTAGGACACCTCTAGGCAGGGACAGTGTTCCAGGGTGACTGACACTCAGTTAGAATGCCTGCCTCTTTGAGTCTGATCAGGTGTTCCTGGATGTCTGCTTTTGCCTCTTGTGAGAGGAGGTACTGCTGCTGTCTCTGTGTCTGGGCCCCTGGAGTCAATTCTACAATGACAGGGGCTCCATTATGAGCAAGTCCAGGTGGGCTGTCTTCAGCCCATACTGAGGGGGAGTCAGCTCTGAATTCAGGTGGGCTACTTGAAGGGGTCTGGGCACAGAATATCTTCTACTCCTCTTCCCTGGCTGGGCTTATTGCCTGTATGAGGGACCCTGGCTCTTCTATTTGACATGAAAAAAAATAGCCCTTGGAGTTCTCACATAAACTGTTAGGCCCTGGCAGCGGCCGGTTGCATACCTGTCAGAAAAAAAAAAACTAAACCCAACTGAGGCAGGATGGCCACCCTGCCTCCTGGCAGCCACAGTTCTATTCATTTAAAAAAGTAGATAAACTTACTCTGGGACAAAAAAATAAACGTCAAGCTCCCCCATACTGTTGTGTCCCTCTTAAACACACAGGGGCACCAATTCCTCTCCAACTCTCAGCTGGCACAATACTAAAACTCCTCAAGGCTGTCTGGCTCCCAGAAAAAGTAGCAATCCTGTATTGAAAAGAACTCCAAAAAGAAAACAACCCTATAACACAGGGGAACCAGCTGGCAGATAAGGCAGCTAAAACAGTGGCCAATAAAAAAAGATAAGGCTCCTTCTCTCACCATGGCCCTAACGACCCCAGTGGAGGCCCCTCCACCCAAGTACACTGAAAAAGAGAATGATTGGGCCGTGGCTGAAGAAGGAACCCTAACTAAAAACAAAAAATGATGGCTGCTGCTTGACAGACACATCTTTGTCCCAACTGCAACCGGAAGGCATCTAGTCAGCAAATATCATCAGCTCATGGACCCAAAAAAACTGCACTAGAAGCCCTCCTCAAAAAGCAATATTAACCTGCCTTTGTTGCACATGCAGTACAGATTTTAACTAAATCTCTCAACATTACCTGGAAACTCAACACTGCATACAGGCCACAAAGTTCATGGAAAGTGGAGAGAATAAATCGCACCCTCAAAGGAACCCTAGCTAAGTTTTTGCCAAGAAACTGGTCTCCCATGGCCAGACCTACTGTCCCTGGCTGTCCTGCATGCTCGCTGCACACCTGGGACTCAAGGCTTTTCCGCTTTTGAATTAGTGTTTAGACACCATCCCCCGTGGCTAGGAAGCCTCCCAGGGAACCTACACCAGATAGGAAATAAGAGAGGAAGAGAACAGCTCCAAGCCTTAAGAGCTGCCCTAAATAAGCTGCAGCAATATACCAGAGAAAGAGACCTGATCTCCTCAGGGACCCAGTACATTCCTTCCTGGCTGGGGACCAGTCTGAGTCAGAAATTGAAAAAGAGACCCCCTAAAACCTCAGTATACTGGGCCCCACATTGTTGTTCTAACTTCTCCTACTGCCCTCAAAGTTGCAGGCATCACTCCATGGGTCCATCATTCCAGAGTGAGAAGAGCCCATACTCCAGACAAAGAAATAACATTGGTAGAAAGCCCAACGAGACCTCCAGATCCTCTCCACCTCCACATCTGACGATTACCCTCTGACTAATGAACACCCGCACACGGTGGATCCTGGCCCTCGCCAGAATGGAATCTCTCTTCCTGGGCATTAAATCTCTGCTGCTGCCCCCTCTGACTAAACTGTTCCTCAAAAATTGCCCTTTCTATTTCTCCAGATCCTCTCCACCTCCACATCTGACGATTACCCTCTGACTAATGAACACCCGCACACGGTGGATCCTGGCCCTCGCCAGAATGGAATCTCTCTTCCTGGGCATTAAATCTCTGCTGCTGCCCCCTCTGACTAAACTGTTCCTCAAAAATTGCCCTTTCTATTGTCTATTGGGTAATCATTAAGTTGTTTTGCTGTGCTTACCTGTCTCTCCTAGCTGAACTCAAGTCTCAGCCTGCATTTCCAAACTACCTCTCTATAATGTTTAACTGTACAAAAGTTATGAAGTGCGTGGTCATCACCCAAGAGAGCTTCCCTCAGTGGCCCTACACCATTAGCACCTGTCCTCTCACACTCAGATAAACCAGCCTGAGTGTAATGCTCAGCTGAATAAAAATAAATCAGGACTGAAAAGAACTGAGTATTTTTTTGTTAAGCACAGGCTTATCAAGAGTCTGAAGACTCATTTCAACCTGTAATACATAAAAACAATCATTTGTATTCTTCACAAAGTACTCAGGTCTTTAAAGAAAAAGTCACAAGGAAAAAAGTCCTAGCTCAAAGCAATTAAAGGTATAAGTACAAGGCATTGTAACCTTATCATAAACCAAAAAGATGATGCCCCCTAAAACAAAGTGTTTAAAGGGGCATCAGAGTGGGGTGTGATAAGGAAATATTCAACACAGCCGTCAAGGTCAGCAAACCGCTTTTTTCCTCCAGTTGGCAAAGCACTCCCAGCTCCCTGTTCCCCTCTTCCAGGCTCCTCTTTTGCCCTGCGCATGCAGAAATGCCACATATCAAAATAATATAAATTGCTCCCCTTGCTTGTGCTCAGGGCTCAGGCCTTGGGAGATTACTCCCCTCTGAGCCCACCGGTGTGAAATAAACCTCAACACTCCAAGACCTCTGAGTGCCGCTTGGTTCTTCAGTCACTGACCCAGTCCAGGTTTTCCAGTATTTTCTGTAATGGTGTTTTCCATAACAGTATAATATCTGTTCTAATAATTCTTAATTCTTTTTCAGAAAAATCAAGATTTTAGTTTTAATTACCATTTCTCCTTTTGTCTCTCACCCTTTTCATTTATTTCTTAATCTTCTCTTCTGTATTCTGAGATCATTTCAAGTTTACATTTCTCATCACTTACTCTTTTTTCCTCAGTATCAATTTTGTATTTTTATTACAATCTAAATACAACTTTATTTCTATTTTTATTGTTTTCTTACTATTCCTTTAGAAAAATCACATTTAAATTTTCTCCTATAGATCCTTTTTGGTTATCTTTATTTTAAACTTCATTTTGTTCTCCCCTTGGATTTCTGTTTCCTCTCATATGACATTTTCCTTTCTTTTTTATTTATTTTATTTTGGTATCATTAATCTACAATTACATGAGGAACATTATGTTTACTAGACTCCCCTCATCACCAAGTCCC